TGATAATGACTCACCAAACACACCTGATGAATGATTTTGTCACAGGTTAATAAGGTGAATTCAGGTAACATGGGCCAGTTTCTTTCTTTTTTTTCTTCTTTATTACTTCTCTGGGTTTTAGAGCCAAAATATAATACTTTCAGTTGAATTCAGGTCATGTAATGCCAGTTCTAATAAATACTTCGAGATTTTTTTTTTACTTTGAGAACGGCTATTTCAGTCATGCAAGTACAGGTCCTCTCTTATTGAAAGGGCAAACATAAAATTATCCAAAGCTGTTCAAAAAGCTTAAGATACATTCTCATAAATTGTTTCTTATGCTCAAATAGCATTAAAAAGCATATTTTTTCAGGCTAGACCCACAAATGCGCATGTGCTGTGAGCACAAAACCAAACTGAACATGTGTGTGTGTGAGCAGTAATTTCATCTTTCATGTGTTTTAATCTGCTGTAATGCAAAATTTCCACAATAGATACTTGATGAAAATGATAGCTTGAAAGTTTATTTAATTGTGCTTGGTTTATTTATTTATTAAGAATTAAGCTATTCTCAATGGGTGAAAACATTCCTCATTTTTCATTTTTGTAATTTAACATACTTTTTGTAAGGTAGTTGTCTGACTGTTAAATGGCTAGAAGTATAAGAATGTTGTGTGAATTGTGTATAAACTACATTTCATTGTTTCGCTGTAAAATGTATCATTGCTGATTTTAAAATGGTTTTCTATATTTATTCAGTGCTTAATTTTAGTATATGGAAAAACAATGTAAAAAGTCAAAAACGTCTGCCACCTCACAAGTACCAGGTTTACTGAGGTTCAGCTTCTGAGTCAAACTGAATGCGGTTTTGTTTCTTTTATTCTATAGAAATGTGGTTTGATCTGTTGGGTGGACAAGCAGCTTGTGTTTGAATATATGGACATTTAGTTCATGTCTGTTTAGTTTGTAGGTGAAGGGTTTCTATCTGTCCTGCTACTGTGAACAGCTTTTTAAATCTCTTCAATAAAACCAAACACAATGAGAAACTGTTTCTGACATTAGAGAAATTTTCGAGTATATATATATATATAGGCTATATATATTGCCAGGCCCACTTATGGCGCCAACACTGTTTCTGTGTGTGGAGGACTTCCTGGTGCTATTTTGCCATCATATATGTACGCTCATACAATGAGCAGGTTTAGCCCAGCATACAGCATTGTTTTAGATGTTTTCAATGGAGCAAAGCGCAGAGCAAAGTGCGCAAGAGCATCTGAACAGTAGCAAAGCAGGAAGAAAGAAAGAACATTTACAGACACTTCACATTTAATGGTATTTGTTGATTTGTTATTTTGGCAGCACTTTATTTTACAGCCCTGCTCCTCATGTATATATTATGTATACTTATTATAGGCCATTACAGTGACTGACCCTGAATCTACCCCTAAACCAGGGGTAGGCAAGTTCGGTCCTAGAGAGCTGCAGTCCTGCAG